TAGAATACCACGGGAAGACAGCTTAATATATCTTCCAGTTTGTTTTTTTATATCTTTAACAGACTTTAACAATGATTTTCAAGATTATCAGTATTAGGTTTGTCTTAAAATTTTGGAATTTTCGTCGACTACGTACTTAATGGAATGTACACAGTAGGAATAGTTTTAGTTCTCAAGTAAATAAGTACCGCATTTAGAACGGGATCTGCAAAGCTTTTTATGGACCTGCATCAACCAAATGTTCTTCTATTGGCCGAATACAAACTGTTGGAAAGCCACCCTCGAGCGATGTATATATTTTTTTTAAGAATTTTCCTAAGAAATTCCTTAAAAACGAACCCTATTCGGTCATATTTAATACCGTGGGGCAAGGATTTGTAAGAGCTCATATTTTTTGCCCAAAGACGAATTTATATATACAGTGTTGACCAAAACTACTTTCATCATCCGTTGAAAAAGAACCCTTTCCTCTATGAAAAAGCAACGAAAAAGAACACCAAAACCCCCCAATGGTGACGACCCCACGATCTGCGAATAAGCACTTGGAATGTGCGCACGTTGTACAGAACCGCTTTCTCCTATGAAAAAGCAACGAAAAAGAACACCAAAACCCCCCAATGGTGACGACCCCACGACCTGCGAATCAGCACTTGGAATGTGCGCCTTACAGGAAATGCGATGGAAAGGGAATGGCGGTGTAAGGTGATTCAGATGATTACTCCCTGTATTATAGCTGCCATGAAACGAGACGTGAATTTGGCTTATAGGAGTATAAAATACCTCGTCTCCAGATTCACTCCAGTAGATGAGCGAATTGCGACCATACACCGACGGAAGATAAAGATGAACAGACCAAAGACATATTTTACGAGCGCCTAGAAACAGCATATGAGCGCTGCCCTGGCATATGAGCGCTGCCCTAAAACAGCATATGAACGCTGCCATGACATTAAAATTATGCAAGGAAACTTTAATGCAACAATCGGAAGGGAAAATACTTTTGGTCCCAACGTCGGAAAATTCAGCTCTTATTAAGGAACATCCAACAACGGCATGACGTTGATTGACTTCGCGGTAGCACAAAACATGGTAGTTAGCCTAGTGCTGCTAACTACCAAAACATGGTTTAGCAGCACCAGGCTAACTTGCATCTCAATATTCACAAGTCCACCTGAATTTCTCCTGATCAAATAACGAGAACTCAAATTGACCATGTTGTGATAGACGGAAGGTATTCATCCAGTGTTTTAGACGTTCGATCGATACGAGGAGCGAATATCGATTCGGACCATTACCCTGTGGTAAATCAGAAACTCGACGTCGAAAAGCTGCAAACACAACAGATAGCAGAAAACTACTTCGTTCAACTTACCCAATTGCTTGACGAAAACATTCCTTGTCCCGATAATAATATAGAAGCACAATGACAAAGAATTATCCAATCCCTACAAACTGCAGTAAAAGCAACGCTTGGGTACTAAAAACTACCATCAAGAAATCCGTGGCGCGATCAGGAGTGTTGTAATGCTACAGAGGCGAAAAACGCAGCGTGTATGGTAACCCTGCAGACAGTAGCTACACGTAATGCGATGGGGAATTATCGGGAGAAAAGGAGAGAGGAGAAACTTATTTTCAGAAAAGGCACATCCTCCTGTATAGATGTAGATGGAAACCTGGTGGCAGATACAGATAACGTGTTGAGGATCTCGTTGAAGCATTATGAAAAGTTTCTGGCATCAAATAGTGGCGACGAAGTAGATATCCCAAAACCAATAATAGAAGACGGTATGTATGTCCAATGATTGGAAGCTCAGCATCATATATCCCGTGCACAAAAAAGGAGACAAGGCGATATTGGCATATATCGTCTTGTATAGAGGAATAAGTCTCCTTCCTATTGCATACTAACTGCTATCAAGCGTGCCGTGTGAACGACTGAAGCTAATGGTCAATGACATTATTGGACCATACCAATGCGGCTTCAGGCCTGGCAAATCCACCATTGACCAGATTTTCACTCTGTGCCAAATTCAGGAAAAAGTGGGTTTGGCAGTAAACGGCTAGAAGACCAAGCTGATGGTATGAATGCGCAAGACATCCAGTAGACTCGGACCAACTGTGAAACTTGAGAACTACAGATTCGAGGTAGTGAACGATTTTATATACCTCGGTAACGCCATTGACAAAACTAAAGACATCAGATTTAAAATCCGGAGGAGAATAGTGTTGGCCAACATATGCTACTATGGTCTGAGTAAGCAACTCAAAAGCAAGGCCGCCTCTCGCCAGACCAAACTCACACTCTACAAGAGGTTGATATTACTCGTGCTGTTGTATGGATCTGAAGCATGGGTACTTGCGCAAACAGACGACACAACTCTCTGCGTCGACGATGAATATCGTCGTCGAATGAACCATCAGTTGAAACATCTATTCTCTGACATCGACATAGTCAGTCGTATCGAGCTGCAGCGACTACTGTGACTAGGCCTTGTTGTGAGAATGGATGAAGATGCCCCAACTCAAAAGGCATATAGAAGCGACCCAAGTGATGGTCTATGCTGAAGGGGAAGGCCACGAATCGATGGAAAGTTTAAAATTGGATGGGATGCGCACACCACACCGACGCGTTGGAGTTTTTAAGCTTGGTTTATGGAACAACCGTTCTGTCAAAAGTAAGCAAGTACGTAAGTAATCGGTTCAGATTTTAGTATAGTTTCCATATTTCCATAAGTTTTGCTGAAATAGGTTCAGATTTGTATACGATTTAATTGGGACTTCAGCGAAGTATATTTAGAGTAGTATAAAAAGTTCGAGATTCGGATTAGCTTTCGTCCGATTTCGGGGAATTGTAATCAAATCCTAATTATTGTTTTTAATAGGACCTGATTTACATATAGCTCACAAAGAATCTTAGGAGCATCTCTTGTACATAACCAAAGTGGTGAAGGCATTTATCATTTATAGTCGACATTTATCCCTTTATAACTGGTTTTTAAATCTGTAAACTGGCCTCGTATTATAACGACATGAGAAATACGTGCTAAATTCTATTTATTTCTTGGGGTGAATAATTCGAAAAGAAAGGGTGTTTTTTTTTTAATTTGCAATGAGGAATTTTACACAGAGACAGAGAGAGACAGTAGGAGACCAACTGGAACAGAAGACAAAATTGTTTGCTAAATTTTTGATATAAATGGATTTTCTAAGTTGTAAAAATTGTTATTTTTTGATTTTGTGTAACAAAAATTATTGCAAAAAATTAAAAATGAAATTGGAGAGGGAATTTTCTAATTTGTGATTGATGTCTACACGAGGACGGCAACTGATTTGATGAGAGGATGTGATGCCTGGTTGTTTGTTTTATTTTTTTTGTTATTGTTGTTATAAATTGAAATCATATGGATTATATATTGCTGAGATTTTTCTATTTTATGTGGTGTGTAGTCGGTCGAGACGAATGAAAACCAAATCAAACTTAGCCTCGCAACATCCGGTTTTTTGATGTTATTTTGATTAAGTGATAATTCCATTACCAATATTTTGTGGTGAATTTGGGATCAGTAATATTTTTCGTGGCCGGAAAAAAGGGTCGTGGGGCTTGATGTGAGACAAGGGACTAAGTTTTTGTTTGATGACTAAATGCAGGGGGGTAAATAAGACAAAATTGTGTTATTTGTGTTCGTAGGGACCTTACAACCGTGGCATATTTTGTTTTGGTGAAGTTTCTCATTAAGAGAGCAATGGGGAGAGAGAGACAGAGAGTGAGAGAGGCAAATTAACGAAAACAAATTCCAAATGAAAACTTTTGTTCTAACAAACAAAATGGCAACAATTGGTGATTGAAATTATTATAAACCAATAAAAACGAGGAAAATGATTATGAAATGCTTCTATTAAGGCCAAGTATAATTTCGATTTTTTACTGAAAATTGAGGTTAAGTTGTGGTAACTAAAGAAGAGTAATACATTTCCTCTATGTCCTGGTTTTTTTTTTAACTACCGAACTAAAAACTCAAATAGATGGCAAACTAATATCGAATAGGGCGCTTAAGTATGGGGGACGGGGGGTTCTAAGAGGTGTTTGTTGATTGTTATTGTTTTGGCAAAAGGTAGGTGGCAAATGGTGATGATGGTAGTAGTAGTAGTAGTGGGGGTGGTAGTAGTTGTGATGGTGGATGGTGTTCAAACTAAACTAAATAACTGGAGTGCTGGAGGAGTTTTCGCATAGTCTCGTTTTTTATTTTTACTTTCTGCTTTAACGTTACGTTTCCAATTTCTATTTTTTCTTGCTTGCTAGCTATTTACTCAACCGTTATGCCATAGTTTCAGTTATTTATTTTCTTTTTTTTTTGCAAACGAAACCTTGTAATACTTTCTTATATTTTTTAAGACTTTGTGAAATAAATTTCAATTGGTGGAACAATTTTGTCCATGTTATTTATAAGAGGAATTCCGCAGTTCGTAAAGGAAAATGAACAAAGTTGAAAACGTACACACTAATAATTATTGGGAACAGATACAAACGTAAAGAAGTTTTTTTTCAACACAAACAGAAAAATTCGTTGTCGACAAACAAAATAAAATGGACAAAGAAACAAACAAACCCGAAACAAAGTTAACAGAAAATGAGAAACAAAGAAAAGCCAAGAACAAAAAAACCAAATAGATATGAATAAAAATTTGCATAAAATGTATTTCGAAACAAACAAAAGTGTTGATAGGAAATATTTTTTTGTTTTTTTCATAAAATTCCATTGAAAGAAACTCTGGGTTTTTTTTTGTTTTTTTCTTCGTTTTTTCATAAACACTTAAAACACAAACTATATTTTATTTTGTTTTTTTTTTCTTATATGTTTTTAAAATATTTTGCTTAACTAAAATAAGACATATCTAATTGAACATAAAAGAAAAAATTGAACGCAAATGTAAAAAAAATATGAAATGAAATTAATTGGAAATTAAATATTATATAGGTACATAGCTAAAGTTTTATGTACCATTTTCACTTCAGATAGCGAGCTGATCGATAGCACATACATGGTGACACCAACTTCGACCGGGGGTCCTGAAATGTCATTTAGCATCAGTTTCAAAAAAATATCCAAATAAATTTTGTTCAAATATTTTTTGGTGTTTTTGTTATTATTATTTTTATTTAAAATGTCAGAGGCATGGTTTTGTGGGTGGGAAAACAATTTCAAATGAATCTGATACACATTTGGCAAATTATTCTTTTTATTCTCGGTGTATGGATAGGAGTTGTCATTTGGCAATTTTGTAGTTTTTTATAGCCTCGGCATTATGGTTTTGTTACGGCAAAATGTGCCTTATCAAAATATATCCGTCCGTACGCACGATAACTCTCGAAGGGAGTAACCAGTTTCATCCAAACTTTGCAAAAACATTCGTAACATTTCTTCCAAACGAAGTTAATTTTCGAAAATCGGGATTATCGGTCCACTCTTTCTTGAAACTTCCCAACAAAATGGTGCGGGAACATTTTGTAATATCCTCCGAACAGGATATCCGAACTTTATACCACCTAATTTCTTTACCAAGCCTAGATGAAGTCCTAAGATGGGTACCTTCACTTCTTCTGGTACCTACCCTACAAATGGTCAACAATTTAAATATTTATAAATCACACATCAGGCAATATTTATTTATATTTACCAAACATATATCAAGTCTAACATGGGACACATTGGTCCACTTTTTTGATACCTCCCCAAAATTTTTTCAATGTATATAAATTCAATATTAGGCGAAAGGGAAATTTTGAACTTTTTTTTTTGGAAAATCTTTCACGCGTTACATAATTTATGACCACTTGGAATGATTAAAATGTAGATTAGGATACTCCAACTGTATCAGGTTAAGATCCGAGTAAATACAAGGCTTTGAATAAGGTTAGGGCAGCCCTAAAAATACACACAAACGACCTTTGAGATAGCTAAGGCATAACAGGCGGCTTTAGTCTTTGTCTTGGAGCATATAGAAGGCACACCCTCCTCCCTGGCGAGGGAAACCAAAACATTATCTAATTTGTTCAGGGGCCCACACCAACTGCTGGGCTAGATACACGGATTTAATGACACTCTTAGACCGCGGTAAGGAAAATCTCCACTCAGGCCCGAAGACAAAGCATTTACCAGTTCGACATCAAGTCCGAAACAACACGCAACAATAAATATGCTGTCCTCACAGACTGCACTTAGATCTCACAGATACAGCGGCATGTTCGAAACTTGGAATGAGTATTCTTGATAAAGACCCCATCGCGGGAAAGAGTGGAAGGATCGGGTATGATACCCTTGACTATGTCATAATAAGATTCAGGTGAAGATCCAAGTAAGAACAAAGCTCTGAACAACACTCGTCCTTTGAGTAAGGTAAGGCATAACAGGGAATTTTATTCGATGTATTAGAGCGTGTAGCAGGGTCGCCCTCCTCCTTGGCGAGAGATCCGAAAACCGTATGGAATCTCCCAGGGCCTACATCAACTGCTGGGCTAGATATATGGATTTAGTGGCACCCTGCAACCGCGTTATGATACCCTTGACTGTGTCATAATATACTGTTTCAGGTGAAGATCCGAGTAAATACAAAGCTCTGAACAACACTCTTCCTTTGAGTAAGGTAAGGCATAACAGGGAATTTTATTCGATGTCTTGGAGCGTGTAGAAGGCTCACCCTCCTCCTCCTTGGCGAGGGATCCGAAACCCATATCGAATCTCCCCAGGGCCCACACAAACTGCTCGGCTAGATATACGGATTTGGTGGCAACATGCAATCGCGTTACGGAAAATCCCCGTTCAGGCTCGAAGACAAAACTTTTACCAGTTCGACACCAAGTCCGAAACAAAACATAACAAGTGAACACAGTTCACGATGTCGAATTCGTGTTCACCTTCATAAAATTATGTCAAATACGTAAAAAAAAACAAATTTCGAGGAAGAAAGAGCCGGTTTTCTAAATTTTTGAACCGGATATTCAGATAATAAAACCGATTTTAATACATTATATATATATATATATTAGTAGGAAGCTGGTAAACAGACAGACTTTGACATAACCACCTATGTTTAAAAAAAAAGTTCGAGTATAGAATAACCGGTTTTCAAAATTTTTTTGAACCGGATATTGCGATAATAAAACCGGTTTTAATACATAATATGTATATAAGTAGAAAGCTGATAAACAAACGTGCAAACATTTTTGAGCCGTAATATTATCGGTTTTATTATGTAGTATTTAGAAAACCGGTTCTTTTTTCTTCGAAATTTGGTTTTTGGTGCCTTTGGGAGAAATATTTTCGAGGAATCCGGCACTTTTCAATAATATAGAATTAATACTGAATTTATTGAAACACATACACAGGGGTTTAAAAGTAACACGGGTAAAATTGAGAAAATACGGTTAAAACATTAAACGACCGATTTCTCGTCTTCGAGAACTCCACTTAAAGTTTTATGAGCAACATTTTTGTAGAATATTGCGAGGATGAAAAATCGTATTTTGTGGTAGTTGGAGTCCATTTAAATAAATTAAGGACGAAGAAAAGGACAGTCAAGAAATATAGATAGAAGGACGAAATGTTATACAGAAAAATTACTCATTCGATTTAAACAAAAAAGAAAAATCTTCGGAATATTACCGATTTTATTATCTAAATATCCGATTCAAGTATTTAAAAAACCGTGTTTTTTTCTTCGAAATTTATTTTTAGGGGCTTTTGGGAAAAATATTTTCGAGGAATACTGCAGTTCCCAATAATATACAATGAATACTGCATTTATTGAAACACATATACATAGGGGTTGAAAAGGTGTAAAATTGAGATAATACCATTAAACCGTAAAAATATCGATTTATCGTCTTTTAGCGCCCTACCTAAAATCTTATGAGCAACATTTTTGTAGAATATTGCGAGAATGAAAAATCGCATTTTGAGGTAGTTGGAGTCCGTTTAAATAAATTAAGGACGAAAAGGGAATTGTTATAGGGAACGAAATGTTCCTTAAAAAAATTCCTTATTCGATTTTATAGAAGAAATGCAATACAAAAGAATACATACAATAATTACAAATCTAGATATGAAGCTATTTTCATAAAGGGTCGCCAGGTAAAAGATGGGATTTTCATATACTCACCAAGGACTTTCATTCCCAATAGGAATTAAAAAAAAATAAATAAAACTTGTCACTGATTGCAGTAGATCGCAATTCGTCACGATTTTTTTTAATTAAAAAAGTGCCATGGGCATAGCCGTATCCATAAACCGAGAATTGCCAAGAAAAAAAATCGCACAGTGAATCCATATTCATTTTGAAACTTCCCGCAATAGATAATTATGAGCAATTAATAAATACTATTAATGAAATGAAAACAAAAGGCAATACAACCCAGCAATGATGAAATAAAAATCAAATTAAGACCAAGGCCAAAAGAGAAAACTAAAATCAATGAAAACGAAAAGTAATCTCGATGAACACCCTTTCAAAATGCTTCAAATAAACAATGCATATAAAAGTGGTTGAGGGGGACTAAAGGGGGCTTAATGTGTTTTTGTTTTGCCTAAATTCTGATTGGTAAATCTAAGAGTTGATTTTGAATATTTTTTTGTTTGTTTTTAGATTAGATGAGAGAGATATATAACTTTTGTTTTTTTTTTCTTCTTTTTTAATGCATGATTTATTACAATGAACTAGTGTTAGGTTTTTGTTGTTTTAGAGTTTCCAATTTGTATTTTTTTGTTTTCTTAGTTTAGTAAAAAATTTTTATGAGTTTCTTAAAGGGGGGTATTTTTTGGTTTAGATTTTAGTTTTTTTTTCAAATTTCTAGGTACTGTTTTTTGTTTTGTTTTTCATTAAACAAACAATTATATTTTACATGAAATGATGGAAATACACACACATGGGGAAAAAACGAACGTTATTACTTACCACCATAGTTGGGTCTTACTCTTTTGTCATAACTGACACTGAAGGAATCCAAAATAGCCGATATATTAACATCTCCCAACATACTACCGCCAGCGGTTCTAAAATAATATGAGAGAAGAATATATTTGCTAATAATGGCCGAAATTTTTCATTGGCGACAGACATCAAGGGTACAACATCGAATGACCGGTCATTGTGGCGTATGAGTTACACAGTCTCTATATGGCCATGAACAAGCATACGTCACAAGTTACGGTCAATGGGAAGGTGTAGTGTTTTTGTTAGTTAGTTGAGGGGTTTGTTTTTTTATTTATTTTATTTTTATGGTTAGTTATGACTGTGTTGCTTCTTGCTACGTAACGGAAATCACTTTTTGTTTTATTTGTTTTGTAACATTATTTTTTAGCTTTTTTGTTTTGTTATTGTGTTTTCAACCAACTCAGCAACTCTGTGACAGCTGTCGGCTGTTTAGCTGCTGCTGTTGTTGTTGTTGCGTTTTTGTTTTCTACTTTAGTTTAGATTAGTTTTCTATATCTGTAAATAGAACTTTAGCTTGGCATGTCCAAGAGGAACAATGACAATGTGGATTAATATTAAAAACTAAGATGAAATGCCATAAAACTATGAATGTCATGAATTATTGTTGGTGAGAGGGCGGTTATGAGTTTTGTTTTGTTGTTTATCATTTAATGAAATTTTATGCATTGTGGTATTATAGTACATGTTGGTAAGGGAAGGGGAATATTTCTTGAAACTTAAATTATATTTTTTATTATTCTTTAGGTAATAGAAAATATTTTGGATTTTTCGACCAAACCAATATTTGCAATATTACAAAATGTGTGTCCCAGTTTCGATTGTTTTTGTTATAGCTTTTGTATATTTAGAGATATATTAAAAAGTTTCCAATATTAGTTAGTATAGCTATAATCCATCCTTATAACACCGATATTCCGAAAAAAGTAAATTCTCACGCTTCTAGTTCGCAAAAAAACCAAATATACTATTTTCAATTTACCCTCATAAAAAAAGTAAATAAATTTTTTAATTAAATTTTAAGACAATTGTAGTCCACAAATTACTTCAAAATTATTTTTAAATAAAAATATTCAATGCCGGGTAATGTGGACCACTATAAAAAAGTAGGACCTTTTCTATCATCTGAAAACTCGATATGCGAAATTACAGGTGCTCCGGTTGGATAATGACGCAAGGACCTTCAAAATACCGCAAATGGGGCTATTCCAAAACACAAACCCATATATTTTTGGATTCATTGTTACCCACAAGTGTATATATCACAACCAATCCACAAACTACCTTTAACTTACTGATCCACATTACCCGCCAAGTCATTTTTATTCGCAGTTCAGGGTTTTTTTAAATATAATGCAATAACATTTGTATAGACAAATATATACAATGTTTGACCTGGAATATATTTAGGCAACAAATCTACTATGTTGTTTTTATTTTTAACCGCTGTTACGCCCACAATATCAACAATTTTAAATGGTGGTCCACATTACCCGAAGTTACTCTATATGGATCCTAATCTTCTATAGTGCCTATTTTTTGAATTTTTTAGAAAATGTTAAAAAAGTTAATTAAAACAATTGCATTAAGTATGCAAACACTTAAGGGGACCACCATTCTTGGTGTCAAATTGTTTCTGATTTAATTCGAATCTACTCTAATTCTAGAATGTCCTACAAAATTTCAAGTGAAAATCTCAAGAACTCTTGCAGATATACCCGATTTATTGTGTCAGCATTAAGTGACGGCTGAAGGGCTTCTCAAAGTTTAAGCGCGTTTTTCTCTGGGAGTATGAACTAGGATAAAGCCAATCGGTGAAGAACTCTCTTATTTTTTAACTTAGTTTAGTTTTGGTCAAAAATAGGCGATTTTCCAAAAAAAAAAAAAAATAATAATAATTTCAAAGTTCCGCCATTTTGTTAATTTTAGAGCGAAGTCAATAATCCTAGTTCATACGAGAGCCAGACATGCACTCTTTCTAACACCGTTGGAATTTTCTGATTCCGATGTTCCAGTGAGGAGTTACCATGCCCGCCGACAAAAATCAGGACTTTTCTTTGATCACAAAAAAACAACAACAAAAATTTTTGGTTAACTACTTTTCTTCCTTTTCAAATCTTCAAATATATATGTGCTAAGTTACAAACCTTAACAAGCATTGGTAATCATTTACCAGCCCATTTAAAATCTTTAAAATAAAAAATCGAAAGGGGGGAAGGGGGGTCGGTTCCCTTAAGGATATCCTTAAAATATTTTTTTTAAATATCAACTCTTTCTGTAGACAACCCACGCTCATGGAAAAATATTCATTCTTTTCTTTAGTTCGTCTATAAAAGATTTCCTTTTTTACTTCGCCTATGAAAAACTGTCCTCAGGTCATCTGAGGACATCATAATATACGCTCTTCACCTCGTCTATAAAGGACCCTCTTAGGTCGTCTATGAGTCTGTCATAGACTCAGCTAAAGTTGGTCTATGGAAATCACCATTCAGATCGTCCAATGAAGACTATCTACTTCAGCTCGTCAATTAAAAACTGTCCTCAGGTCATCTATAAAATACGCTCTTCAACTCGTCTATAAAAGACCCTCTTTGGTCGTCTATGAGTCTATCATAATAGACTCAGCTTCAGTTGGTCTATGGAAATCACCATTCAGATCGTCCAATGAAGACTATCTACTTCAGCTCGTCAATTAAAAACTTCCTGATTCTATAGAGATTCCCTTCAGCTCGCCTGAGTGTCCTTGAAAGACTATTCTGTAGAAAACCCACGCTCATGGTTATTATTGAAAAAATATTTATTCTCGTCTACATTAGTTCGTCTACAAAAAATTCCATTCTTCAGTTCGTCTATGAAAAATTACCCTCAGGTCATCTATAAAATCAGATCAGCCGCTTTAGGTCGTCTATGAGTCTATCATAGACTCAGCTTAAGCTGGTCTATAAAAGACTCCCTTAAGCTGGTCTATAAAAGACTCCCTTCAGCTCGTCCATGAAAGACTCCCTTCAGCTCGTCTATGAAAGACTCCCTTCAGCTCGTCTATGAAAGACTCCCTTCAGCTCGTCTATGAAAGACTCCCTTCAGCTCGTCCATGAAAGACTCCCTTCAGCTCGTCTATGAAAGACTCCCTTCAGCTCGTCTATCAAAGACTCCCTTCAGCTCGTCTATGAAAGACTCCCTTCAGCTCGTCTATGAAAGACTCCCTTCAGCTCGTCTATGAAAGACTCCCTTCAGCTCGTCTATGAAAGACTCCCTTCAGCTCGTCTATGAAAGACTCCCTTCAGCTCGTCTATGAAAGACTCCCTTCAGCTCGTCTATGAAAGACTCCCTTCAGCTCGTCTATGAAAGGCTCCCTTCAGCTCGTCTATGAAAGACTCCCTTCAGCTCGTCTATGAAAGACTCCCTTCAGCTCGTCTATGAAAGACTCCCTTCAGCTCGTCTATGAAAGACTCCCTTCAGCTCGTCTATGAAAGACTCCCTTCAGCTCGTCTATGAAAGACTCCCTTCAGCTCGTCTATGAAAGACTCCCTTCAGCTCGTCTATGAAAGACTCCCTTCAGCTCGTCTATGAAAGACTCCCTTCAGCTCGTCTATGAAAGACTCCCTTCAGCTCGTCTATGAAAGACTCCCTTCAGCTCGTCTATGAAAGACTCCCATTCAGCTCGTCTATGAAAGACTCCCATTTAGCTCGTCTATGAAAGACACCCATTCAGCTCCTCTATGAAAGACTCCCATTTAGCTCGTCTATGAAAGACTCCCTTCAGCTCGTCTATGAAAGACTCCCTTCAGCTCGTCTATGAAAGACTCCCTTCAGCTCGTCTATGAAAGACTCCCTTCAGCTCGTCTATGAAAGACTCCCTTCAGCTCGTCTATGAAAGACTCCCTTCAGCTCGTCTATGAAAGACTCCCTTCAGCTCGTCTATGAAAGACTCCCTTCAGCTCGTCTATGAAAGACTCCCTTCAGCTCGTCTATGAAAGACTCCCGTCAGCTCGTCTATGAAAGACTCCCTTCTGCTCGTCTATGAAAGACTCCCTTCAGCTCGTCTATGAAAGACTCCCGTCAGCTCGTCTATGAAAGACTCCCGTCAGCTCGTCTATGAAAGACTCCCGTCAGCTCGTCTATGAAAGAGCTCGTCTATGAAAGACTCCCGTCAGTTCGTCTATGAAAGACTCCCGTCAGCTCGTCTATGAAAGACTCCCTTCACCTCGTCTATGAAAGACTCCCGTCAGCACGTCTATGAAAGACTCCCTTCAGCTCGCCTATAAAGACTCGTTTTTGCTGGTCTATAAAGACTCCCTTCAGGGATTCTCTTCAGCTCCTTTATGGGGATATAAAAATCCCTTTAGTTATTACTACGAAGATTCCCGTCGTCTGTGGATTATTTTTAATGTCATTATTGAAGGATGAATGAATGCCTTTTCTGCTTTCATTGTTCTATGCAGTAGTGTGAGGTTTACTGAGCAGAGTTTTTACGATCAGAATAGTTTTGGAATTACTCATAAAAATGGACTTTTTACCAATTTTTATATGATATGAAAACAATTTTATTAAATCGTTTCGTTAAGTAGTTAATCATGTTCAGCATTTATTCTATTTTTATTGCTCAAAGAACTAAAAAACTCCCACATAAATATTACATATGTCTAGGAAATAACATAGGTTATTACTTGGCAGATTTTTTTCCCATATAAAAATGAAATATAAAAATAATTCCGTCTTGCCAGCAATATTTTGTAATAAATAAAACAAAAATATTACTAAAAAAGTAACAGTTGTGATAAAAGGACCTTTTAAAGCGACCACAAAATCCACAACATTTATGACCCCATGTGTGCATGTGCTTGTCCACATAAATAACAACAAAATGCCAAGTAATAAAAACAAAACTATTTCTTCTCTAGGAGATTACAAGTTTTCCACTTAGGCCACAAAGGCAGCCAGTCGGCTGAATGGCTGGAAGGCTATTTTCTTGTCATTTGAAACTAAATCGAGTTTTGGCAAGTGTCGTCAAGCAGGAGCAGCAGCAGCAGCAGGAGATGATGTATGCACTTTAACATAAACT